TCAATCTATACTACTCGTAGACTGATAGATAGACTTCGATTTGAGAAGATTGAGAGGGATTGATTGATTGCCTACTATTACATGTACAAGATAAAATTACACAATCTTCTGCACGACAGTCCCAACCGGCCGTTCAACAATACCCATTACTCCATCCACAACACTCTGTCTAGCACCCTCACTCGAAACATTCTTACCAGCGAGATAATTCAACCAAACCAACCGACTAATCCGCTCATCGGACACGCGCCCCAAGAACCGCACCGGCTTCGCGGGATCCGGATGGAAAAGCGCATCCAACTCCCCACGGCCACCGCGCACAAGCAACAACGTCTGCCCCTTGGGCACGTTCTTCCTCTGTCCACCACCAAACAGACTCTTAAAATCATTCAACGCAGTCCCAAACGACTCATCCTGGAACTCGCCCTGCGAACCCTCCAAAGCCTTCGCATTCGCCTTCTGCGCCCGCCCCGTAATCCCCCTCACCCAGCCATCGCGCAGATGCAAGAAATCCGTATTCCGCGTAGGAACAATCCGGAACGCAGTCTTCAGCCCATCTCCCCTGATAACGGCATCCCAGACCTCATCCCCCCGCTCCGCATCCAAAAGCAACTCCTTCAACCCCTGTCTCTCCGTCGAAACCAACGATGTCGCAGACGTCGCACCAGGCGTATTAACAACAACCCCCTCCTTTGCCCCTGGCGGGTTCACCGCTGTCTGCACAAGCCGTTGCTGCAGCTCCGAGATATCGCTCTTGGCCACATACATCCCCACAACATACACCTGGATCTTAAGGAACGACACAGTCCGGATCCCCAGCCCAAGTAACTGATACTCCTCTTCCTCGACAGACTCGGGAACCTCATCCCCGGCTTTCAAAGCCCCCGCATCAAGGCCCTTCGGTAACCTGATCACGCTCGGAAAGGTAGGAATCGTGCTCGTCCCCGTAGGTACCTCCTCCGCGCCATCTTGTCCCTGTATCCGTATCACCGATGGATTACCCCCGAACCCAGCCGGTCCGTCTAGTTTCATTGCTCCCTCTTTCTGGACCGGGACTTGGTTTTCTTCTTTCGTTGAAGGAGAGGCCTGGTCGAGTCCGAACACATCCAGCTTGATGACCCCGTACATCGCCGCGGCGCAGGTTACTATCCCTGCCGCGGCAAGTGTCATTGAGTTTTTGGACCGGGCGATCTCTGCTTCGCGCGCGCGCGAGCTGGTAGAGTTGCGGAGCGGGTTCTTGGGTGTGGTGGAGCGGAGGGTGCGGGTTGTGCTTAGCAGGCGCTGAGGGGTTGGGGTTGCGCCTGTTGGGCGGAGGTATTGACGTCGGATGCATTGTGTGCAGGCCCGGAGGGGTGTGCCCTGCATTGTTGATGTTGGTGGTCGCATTGTTGCTTTGGTGTTCAGTGGTTTGTTGTCTTTAGGTTGCGGATGGGCGGATGTGGTAGGTTAACCTTGGTTGGCTTGGCGGCGATGATGTTTCACGTGACTTTAAGTTGCCCTTGGTTGTGGTGGTTGGTGATTTGGATGTTTGTTCTGGGGGTTTATTTTGGGGGTATTTAATTGGTGACTATGGTGTGGCTGTTGAGGTGGTGGTTGGGCTGAGATAGCTCTGTCGTATCAAGTGCTGTTTGAGGCTGATGGCATTGGATCGGAGGTTATACATGGATATCATTAAAAGCAACCAGTTTATGAAATCAAAGCACTACGATACTACAACTCTGTGTTTCCCTCCACCACTCACAGTAACCGTCGCCGTATCATCGACGTAGTACACGCCCTTGTAGATATCGTTCCCGTCAATTGTGATCGACGGCTTCTCCGAGCTCCTCACATACGGCAACGTCAGATTCCCCTTCGTCCCAGGCGGGACGGAAAACTGCAATGTGTACCCATCCGGGCTCTTATCCCAGGACGCCTGGAACTTTCCGAGCGACGTCGTGAACCCACCCTCGACGGTTTTGAGATCGCCGAACTGCGGCGCAATTTTCCACGTCAGGCCGCGCGGCGACGTGATGGAGAGACCCAGAAGATAGGTTGTCAAGGCATTCGTTGGACCGGCGGACCACCCATGTGCATGCGAGACATACGATGGATCGTGGCCGTACCCGCGGTCGGATCTATAGCCGAATGAGCCGTCTACTAGATATCCCTCGATTACCGTGCTCTGGGTGCCGTTGGGATTATTGAGATACCAGCCCCAGCTTCGTCGGATGAGCTCCAGCGCTCTGGCGGACTGGCCAATTTCGAAATGACCCTGGATTTCAAAGGATGAGATGAATGGAGAGATGTTATTCGGTAACTCGGGCGTCTCGGCACCGATCGGGGTCCAATTTTGCAGGAGATTCTTGGAGATCCGGCTGGCTCTTTCTGGGTCGACGACTCCATAGAGTAGGGCTAGACTGTTTGCATCCTGGGGGTGTAGAGACGTGATCGTGGCGTTGTCTTTGAATGCACCGTATTCGTCATCCCAGCAATACTCGTTGATGGACTGTACCAGATCTGTGGCTTGGGCGTTCCATTTGTTTGTGAGGGTGCCGGATCCTGCCCAAGTGGCTAGCTGTGCGCCTGTCGTAAGGGTATGGTATAGTCTAGTGTTTGTTAGACAAGGGAAAATATTGTGGATGGGCAGTACTTGCATCATCTGTGCTTCGCTGTTGCTGTATCCCTGCTGCCATCTGGCCCAGTCGCGCGTGCCGGTGACATTCAACAGGCCGGTTGAATTATCTACTTTGTTGTAGATATAATCCATGGCATTTCGGTACTTGTTCCAGTTCTTCGATAGAAAGGAAGTATCGTTAGTGTAGAGCAGATAGTTGTACGTTCCTATCATGGACCACATGTGGTAGGTATCCGAGTTTTTTTGACTCAGCGGTGGTCCTGACTCGTCGAAAGCGCCCGTTGATTCATCCTGTCACTGTTAGATGTGAGAGATAGGTATCTGCAGAAGGGATATACATACCTGAGTATCGTACATTGTCTGCAGGGCATTCTTCACGCTTTCCAAGTCGCCAGTGCTAACGAATGCCGCAGGAACCGCTACGCCCATGTCGCCTGGCCATACGGCACGATCTCGCTTCGCACCGTCCACGAGAATTGTATCTCCAGGTCCCATCGTCGCATTATTGGCCCATCCTTTCGTGAGCATTGGCACCTGGCGACCCGTGTCCACAGGGACGGCATTGGTCTGCAGCGTGTAGGCTCCACTGTACCAGATGCGGTTCAGGAGATCATCATTGGAATGGAAATATCCTTGATAGGCCCGCAGATTAGACCAAGTAGGCTGGAAGCCAATCTCCAAGCTCACGGCATCAACATCGACTGAAACTTGATCCTTTGTGACCAAGAATACAGACAAATACCGAAAACCTCCACGAAGAGACTCATCCGGCATAACATACGACGCGGACCCATCTTTCGTGAAATTAGCATACAAAGCACCATCGGGACCCTTAAAAGCGCCATTGGAGGAATCCGACCATTCTCCGATCCAATTTTTTGCTTCGGAGAAAGCCAAGCCCAGGGCGCCACTGCCGCCTTTGGAGGTGAAATTCAGGGTGACGATGCCGCCCACCTCGATCCCGAAGTCGAACACCACTGCCGATCCATTACCGTGCAACGTGTACGGTTTAGACTTTTGATAATCGACCGTGGCGTTCGGTCTGGCCAGCGATACGATCGTCCGCTTAGGGCTGGCGGTTCTGGATGATGGCGCGTAAATGTTTTCCTCCCACGGCCCTGGAAAGGCGCTATCTTTCGGTCCGGCGCATGTGACGTCGCGCCAGCATTTTTGCGCCAGGGTATATTGAAAGAGAGCCAGCAGGCTCAGGAGGAAAGGAATCCGGTACCCCAGAGCCATTTTTGCCATTCAATGGGGAGTACCCAAGGGGACTCGGTAGCAATTTACCTGATCGAAAGGTGAGTGGGAGAGAGTGTACAATACAAGAAACCATTCATTGTTTTGTTTTTTGTTTTTTGTTTTTTTTTTCTTTTGGTCCGGCGGGATACGTGGAATTAAGTACTTAACCTGTCCGGCTGACTTCTATATTAGAGGCTTGCCTAATCGGTGTTGGAATGTTTTGCAGGGGGAGGGGGAAGAGGGGTTGGTTTTGGGTCTTTTTCCCCTTGGCTGACACTGTTACCCTATATAAATGCCGGATTGCCCAATATCGGTAAAGTGTTGGCTTCTAACCGTTCGTCCAGCGATCAATTAGCGTCCTCGCTGGGGACCTTTTCGGCTCTCCCCGTTTGGCTCCACTTCCACTTCCTCAATTCTCTTCTCATCATTCACCATTATTATTATTATTATTATTATTATTATTATCAATATTAATGTTAAATACTAATATGATTCTAAATCATTACTGGACCCTGAATAGCCCGATGGTCAGACAAATGGAGTCCCCGGGGCGACGGGAGTCGGCTTCTCTGCCCTCTTTTTCCTCTTGTCCTCTTTTCGCCTAATTTCTCCCTAGTTCTCGGAGAATTCCTGTTGTTTTCTAGCGGAGGCAAGGAGTCAACTGGTATGACATCAGCCAAGTGCTGAAAGATTTAGCGAAGGATTGGATTCTCAGGCACCGTTGACCATCGGGTGTCGTCTGTTCCTCGCCATCATTCTATCCGGGGGTGGTATCAGAGTAGTTGCGCTATTATGGCTCAGCAAGAAGCATTATTGGCGGAGAATATATACAAGCTTCTGTCAGGAGAGCTTCCTATCGGGGCAGCGATTGACACATCCGGTGACGCGCAATTCAATCGTTCCCCTTCCCCCAGTAGCCGATCCTCTTCCGCATTTTTGCGATTTAGGCGAACCGACATGCTTCGTCGTCGGGGTGCAGATCAAAAACTCTCGGTACATCTGCCACCGAAAAGTTTAGCGAAAGTCTGATCGATATCATCGAAATGTGGAGATAAATAGAAAGTATACTAGATGAGGATAGTAGTCTGTAGACCCGCGGAGCTCTGTGTAATAATCTTTTCTTGTCAAGAAAAGATCCCCGACAATGCGTTGGCTCAGCACTCCTCTTGTCGCGGTTTCCCTGGCGCTAGGGCTATCTGCTATTGGCCATGCGTCTCAGGTCGACCGCAAGGGCAATATCTGCACGGTCAAAGCGAGCGGCAATCAGTCGGACGATGTGCCGAGACTCCTCGAAGCGTTTCAGAAATGCGGCAACGGGGGCACCATTGTCTTCCCTGAAGACCAGTCGTATTGGATCGCTTCGCGCTTGAACCCCATCCTGAACGACGTGTCGATTGAATGGCGGGGGAAATGGACGGTGCGACTTCCCATACTTTTTGTCACCTCCTACCATGTGCAACTAATAGAAAATCCTCCCCACAGTTCTCCGATGATCTAGGTTACTGGCGCAATAACTCTTACCCTATTGCTTTCCAGAATCATGCTGCTGGCTTCGTGATCACAGGACATAACATCACCATCAATGGATACGGCACTGGAGGCATCGACGGCAACGGCAATGTCTGGTATACCGCAGAAGCGGGCAACACTCAGCCCGGAAGACCAATGCCTTTCGTCTTCTGGAATGTCTCGAACGTCCACGTTGACAATTTCTACGTCAAGGACCCGCAGCTTTGGGCCCTCAATATCATGAACGGTACCGATATGCAGTTTAACAACATCTACTGTAATGCAACAGCAGTGGATGCACCTTGGGGGGAGAACTGGGTCCAGAACACAGATGGGTTTGGTGAATAAAACTCTGCTTCCCATTTCAACGTGCATAGCCTAACACGTATCGTCCGATAGATACAATGGACGCGAAAAACATCCGTCTCACTAACTTCGTATATCAAGGCGGAGATGACTGTGTCGCGATCAAGCCTAGATCCTACGATATTGATATCCACAACGTCACCTGTCGTGGTGGAAATGGCATCGCCATCGGCAGCGTGGGCCAATATAAAGAAGACTCGAGCGTCGAGAACGTACGAATCGACAAGGTCAAGGTACGTGTCTTCCTCCTTCATCAACATGTCCCATCGCAATGGTCACTGACGTACACAGCTCATCCGATACAACGAAGACATGCACGGCAGCGCTTACATCAAGACATGGATTGGCGTGCCCACCCCGCAGGACTCCTATGAGAGTGCCGGTCTCCCCCGCGGCGGCGGCTGGGGCAATGTCAGTAATATCATTTTCTCGAACTTTCAGGTTCAGGGTGCCAATACAGGTCCTATGATCTATCAAAATGAGGGCAATAACGGCTCGTTTGCTGGTACGAGTCTCATGACCGTTTCTGACATTACTTTTGCCAATTTTACGGGCTATGTCACCAATGAGAATGAGGTGACTTCGACTATTTCGTGTTCCGAGAACCATCTTTGTTATGATATCGTCTTTGATAATGTGGTGTTGTATCCCGGGAAGAATGCATCTGAGCCTGGAATAGGCTCTTGCAAGTGGACTACTGACGGCGGGGTTCTGGGACTGGAGGGATGTTGAACTTGCGAGTTTTATATGTCAATATTTGGGTGATTCAACACATGATCAAAGGTATGTATATAAGAGGTTAGTATTTGCTCGATGGCTTGAAGTCTCATAGTAAACTAATTGAAAGCTGGCACAAAGACTGCCCGATAAGTATCGCATTTGTTCTTCCACTAAGTAGCGGCGTCTGTATCGAGGAATATTAATCTAGTTTATTAAAGTGCGCACAACAAAAGATACTGAATAATTTTGATGACACAAGAAATAAGCGATTGGGTTAACAGTGTAACTGATCAGTCCTATATCTCAATTGCATGCTGGCTGCAGTGCCGACATCTCCCTCCGCAGATGCAAAGCTCATACTAAGCGCGAATCACGTCAGGCCAACCCGCCAAAACCCCAATCACCGCAAAGACTGATATCTCAACAATCGAGCGACAACCGTTCGATTAGTTTAGTTATTATGTCGAAACTGTGGAGTATCTTTGCGCAACGGATGCTGAGAAATAGTGCAGGTGTCAGTCAACTATAAGTATGGTTCAAGATGTCTAGAAGCTATCTTCATTTTCTCAACAACTATCAGTTGGACCTCTTTATTAACTCTCAATTGAAATATAATACCATGGGTCCGAGATACCGCAGCGTAGCAGTCATTGGCACCGGCCCATCGGGTGTTTCTGCCGTCAAGGCCTTGAACGATGAGAAGATCTTCGACACCATTCGTGTCTTCGAACGACGAGATCGAGTCGGGGGCCTCTGGCACTATGACCCAATCCCTGACCCTTTTCCGACCTCTACTCCATCAAATGTGAAGCAGAGCAAAATCCCATCAAACTTCCCAACCTTCACACCCCCGATACCTGAAGACACAACAGCGCGGACAGCCATCTACGACACGCTTGACAGCAATGTCGGCGCCGGAGCCATGGCATTCACACATTCCTCGTTTCCAGAAGCCAATTCCGCCCTATCAGTCAGGCAATATGGGAAGTCGAATCCCTCCCGTCCGTTCCGGGTTGTGGCTTCATACCTAGAAGACCTGTTCAAGGAGTATCTCCACCTCGTCTCTTTCAATACAACAGTAGAGAGAGTAGAAAAGAAAGACGACAAATGGACCGTCACGCTTCGGAAACCAGGTCATCCTCATAACAATCAGCCAGTAGATTACTGGTGGCAAGAGCACTTTGATGCTGTGGTAATCGCATCGGGACATTACAATGTCCCCTGGATCCCGGACATAGCAGGTCTGGACCAAGCCTCCAGTACCCATCCGACGAAGTTCGAACACTCGAAGGCATTCCGCTCAGCGAACGATTACGTCGATAAGAAAGTCATCGTGGTCGGAGGGAGCATATCCTCCGCTGATCTTGTAGCAGATCTACACCCGATCGTCAAGGGACCACTGTATCTCTCTCAACGAGGGAAAAACGAAGCTTTGCAAGCTGCCTGGGAGCTTCCCAATGTCGAGGGGAAGCCGACGATTGAGCGCATCCAGACAACTGAAAGAGGAATCAATGTGACCTTCGCGGACGGGAGTGGGGTCGAGAACGTGGATAAAGTCATATTCGCGACGGGTTTCAAGCTTGCCTATCCGTTCCTGAGTCCCAATCCTACCACGCCCAACAATCGCGTAGCCGGGTTCTACCAGCATGTGTTCAAGATCGGAGATCCATCCTTAGCGCTAGTAGGCCAGGTGCGAGCGGCGATTAGTTTCCGGGTCTATGAGTATCAGGCTGTCGCTGTGGCGCGGTATTTTGCCGGTCGGAATAAGAAGGCTCTGCCTAGTCCGCAGGAGCAGGATCTGTGGGAGGTCGAAAGACTGAAGTATAAGGGCCCAAGCTCCCTCTTCCATGAGATTAAACCTGATTTCAAGGAATATTTTGACTTTCTCCGTGATGTAGCTGGCCCACCTGCCCCGGGGACAAGAGCTTATGAATTACCGCCATGGGATGATAAATGGGCTGAGCTTGGATTTGGGGTTTTGGGCCTGAAGGATCAATACTGGAGATCTCTGAAAGCTGCCGCAGGGCAAGTGAGGGCCAAGCTGTAGGGATATGTACATATAGCTATGTGAGAAGAATCTACGTGCGATAGAGCTTTTGCTGGATTCTGAGCAGGCAATCTGATGGGTAGTCACATTACCGCTAAGATATTCTTCTATAGTGGAACTAAATTCTATCTCTGCCATGAGTTACATCAGTCCTTTATCTCATTGGTCTGTTCTACTGAGTAGAACGCACCTGTTTCCAAACAATGCAATGGTTATAGCCTCATTGATACATCACAGTGTCCTCTGCTAGCATCTATCGATTCTAGAAGATATCCAGGGATACTTCTCCGATCCATTTTAGGCATATATAAAATCTCTGAATTACTATACTATGGACATACATCACAAACCCACCAATCAGAGATATACTAAATCTACAAGAAAAAGTCAACCAATCAAATCTTCCGCGCGGGGCGAACCAAACAAAAGCTTCGATCCAAAGGTAAAAAACCGGCGGAACCCAGAAAACGAACCAATCTCCAACGTCGCATTTCTTATCACCCCCCAGTCTGGATACCTCAGGTTATCACCTACCATCCCACTTTACTGCAACCTCCCATACTCAACAACCACAATCAACCACCTCACCCTCGAACCTAAACATCCCCACTCACCACCATGGATAAATACACAAAAGCCCTCGAGCTCATCGACGCCGCCCACGCGCAAGACCCCAAAACCATCACCCCTCCTGACTCCCCCGCACCAATCCCTTACGAACTCCACTACGCCAACAAAATGACCAAATACCTTTCCCTCCGCTGCCCCTCTGCGCCCGAAACACTCCGTCTCGCTATTCGCGCTCAACATCTCAAGCGCTGGGAGGTCCCGCGGTCTTCGTACCCCATGACTAAAATTGGGTACCATTCGTGGCGGAGTGGTCTACAGAAGCGGCAGGCAGAGATCGCGGAGGGGATCTGTTTGGAGGCGGGTTATTCGGCGGAGGAGGCAGGGAGGGTGGCGGCGTTGGTGAGGAAGGAGGGGTTGAAGAGTGATTCGGAAACACAGGTGTTGGAAGATGTGGCTTGTTTGGTGTTTTTGGATGACCAGTTCGAGGAGTTTGAGAAGGGGTATGATGAGGAGAAGGTCTTGGGAATTTTGAGGAAGACGTGGGCTAAGATGTCGGATGAGGGGCGCGAGTTGGCTCTGAAGATTGACATGTCTGAGAGGGCGAGGGGATTGGTTGTGAAAGCTTTAGAGGGCTAAACTTATGCTTTCTCTTATTATTGTATATAATGTTGTTCAATGATATGTTCTTCAGGTGGAGATATTCTATTGTGATGCCGGTTGGGTATTAGTCGTCTATTAGTAGTATCGAGTATCATCGTTAATGTTCCCCTTCCTGAACGCCCGTCGCTGTCTATTATGCCCATGAAATCAAGAAATGCCCGAAATGAGCCCAGATATTCAAGCACCACCTCCGAACATTCTTAAAAGAGCAATCGCAGCTCCCGCCGCGACGCCACCAACAAAACACATCTGCACTCCACCCTTAATGCCCGCAGCAATGTTCTCTCTCCCATGCCACCCCCTTACCACACACGTCTTGATATACCCAAAGGCCAGCAATGTAACTGCCATCACCCCAATACTCCAGTAAAGGGCAACAATGACCTGACTGAAGATGAAATACGGTATAAGTGGAATGAATCCACCAACAAAGTAACCCAACGCAAGCGTAATAGCGGAGATCCAAGCCTGGTTACAATCCGGCTCGGACTCCTTATGATAAAATGTAATGAGGAAGTCCAGAAGCCGATCATGAGAAGCATGCAGTGAGGTATTAATCTGAGAAATAGCTTCTTCCGGGAGTGCATATGCAGAAAAGATATCACGGACAATCATAGATGTTTCGGAGGGAGAGGTTTCAATGAGTTCTTTTGTTTCGCGCACTGTTGTTTCATATGATTCTCTATTTGGCAACTTTCGTTAGCATGCTGCGATCCTATCGTGTTTTGGTATTCTGGAAAAACTTACGCTTCGCTCTTCGCCCCAACGTAGCCGCCCAGGCCCATGGATATAGCACCCGCTGCTAGTTCGGCGAGACCGCCTAGGACCACGACTTTTGTATTTCCAAACGCCGAGAGACCGGCGCTCAGTGCAAAAGGCACGGTGAGTCCGTCTGAGAGGCCTAGGATGGCGTCCGACACGATGCGCGGGTTGATCCGTGAGCGCGAACTGCTGGTACTTCCCGATTCGGATGTAGGAGAGGAAGGACGGAAGGTGCTGTAGGATCGCTGCGATTCGATGTCATCCTGATCGCTGTGGAGAGTGGAGTCGTCTGGTGCGAGTAAGGGTTTTCCTGAGCTCAAGTCAGCTTTTATTCCCATCCCTAGGTGATGGTATGCGTAGACGGACCAAGTTTACCGGCGGAACGTTTATCTTGACCGGGAAATAATTTTTGTTTCAGGAACAACAGTGCCATGATGATGCGTCGTTGAAGGAGAATACGAAGATGATAGCGACGTATGAGAAACACTTTGTTTTTCTTTTATACAAGGTCGATCCGATCGACGAAAGAGGAAGGAAGTAAGCAAAAATGCCGGCAGTGACACTGACGTCAGAACGGCAGATAAATGGGCCCAATCTAGACTTCCGCCGTGTATAAGCTTCCAATTATCCAGCACACAGTGAGCCTTTACGAAGGAGATTGAAATAATTAGCAATGGATAATCGATGAATGAGACTTTTCCTGAGGTCTAGCTCTTTCTTATTTATAAGAAATCCATCACCTCCTGGTAAAAATCTTACATTCTTCTATTCCAAAAACACACGGCCCAGGTCTCCCTGCGGCCTGGCCAATCACATCTCCGTTAATAGTCAGCTCTCGAAGATCCTTTCTCCAATCTAAATTGGACAGTGCGACAGTGGTCCAGGCTTTGTGAATGGAGTCACGGTGATTGGCGCGATGACTGGGCTGATTACAATTAGGGAGATTGTGAGTGGTGGATGTTTGGAAGAAGGTTCTCTTGCTGCAGGTATGATGTCGGTTTGCCGTCGGACTCGGAATTATTTTGGAATATACCGAGACTAAAGGAAATTGAACATTAGGCAAACTTATATGTACGCCGTTTCATTGGATCTCCCGGTAGCTGTGGGTTTTGCTCGGTCTTAACCAGTCTCGGTCATGTCGGAGATATGCCTCTTAAGTCGCTTGAAGTCTCAGTTGAAATCGCCTCTGGGCTTGTGCTCACCAATGACACGCTCGACGTGCAGCGCCTTATTGGCAACAGGACAATCACTCAGGACCAATTCGATGCGCTGGCTGCAAAGGGATTTCACTCGCTCATCTCAAGAGCAGGGGTGGCGCCAGAAATGTGCGTGACGCGAACATTTGAGTCGATGGTGTAAACCAGATACAGCATGTTGAAACTGGCGCTGTGACACTGTGCCAATACGATCTCCAGGGTAATATGAGTGGCATTAAGAATAATCAAATTTTCTCTATCAGAGATTGCACTGCATCGTCTGATATTCTTTGCCTTATGAAATAGAGGCAGTTTACCCGTTTAGCAGTCTAATTATTTATTGTCAAGCCTTCAATATGCATTGATACAGAGAGTGAATATTGCATGCTATTACTCTACGGACTACTAGCTACGCTACATGCTTAACCACTCTTATTCATACAGTATTCTAACAAAGTAAGCCACATACAGAATAAAGATTGTGTCAATGTATTACTCTAATGCATGTAACGTCATTTCTAAATACCACAACTATTATTCATATCTTGAGCACAAGAACTGATGGGAACTCATTAAGAAACGCTTGTCGGCTCAGTCAAAATCATCCCTGCTCTCGAGCGTGTGATGTAAACAACAAAAACAGGGCACGTCTGCGTCGCGTGCATAGAGCGATCTCGCCCCTCTCTTTCGTGAATCGCATCAAGCGCCGCGGGCTGAATGACAACTTGCACTAACTGAGTCACCTCAACACTACCTATCTGCAGCTGCGCCGGGTTCGAGCGCAGGCAATCATTCCGCAGCTTACGGATTTGTGTCTCAACGTCGTCGAGGAAGCTGTTGGCAGTCTCCCCATCTCCAACGTGAAGCGTGACCGCGCCGATCTGCTCGCTCGCCTGCTCTGTAGCTCCGCTGTGACGGAAGGTGGAAGATTGGGTTGTGAGGCTGAAGCGTTCGATGTTGCCGTTCTCGGGTAGGAGATGAAGAACATGGATTGTGTTACCAAACGTGCCAATAACAGGAGCGCAGAAGGAGTGATGGAGGGGGTTAATGTGTTTATAAGATGGGAAAGTATGATTATGGGAGTTATACATTGCTAAATGAAAAGACACTGATTCTTGATTTACTTGTAACTTGTCAAAGGTCATGAACGAAGCCTACACTCATGTGAATTGAATATCGGGGGACTTGAGACATGTTGCACCAGCAAACACTAGTAGGTACACAGTTATAAGTCAACAATCTTTCATTGGACACAGCCTCGTCATTCTCGAACCTCTTGGTTATGTCAAGTTAAACCAATTCGGTCACATTTCATCGAGACCCTAGAAAAAGGTTTTGCTTTCTAGAAACTACGCAAAGTGGGCCACGAATGGCAGTGCTATCTTTATAGAGAACTGAACCTTAAGCCGAATTGACATATGAATGCATTAATATATATGACAATGAATGGGATATATCTAACAGGATTTGTATAATCAAAGGATATCTTCTCTTCGGGTGCAGCTAATGAGAACAGGCAGAGTCGAGAATCTCATAGCGCAATGGCAAGGCCAAGGATACCAGCAGCGCCGGCCAAGCCAACTGCAACAGCACCAGTAGGGGCAGCACCAGCCTCCGAAGTAGAAGACTGGGAGTCAGACCCAGAACTACCGGTCGCCTTGGGTCCGCTGGTGGCGGTGGAGTCGCCGGTCTTCTGAGCACCGGTGGCCTGCGCGTCGGTTTGGTAGGCAGTCGAGAGGTAGGTCTTGACATCGCCGGGGAGGCTCTTGTACCAGTCGGGATAGTTACCAGCACTGATCTCACTAACAAAGGAGGATTGGGAAGCGGGATTCCCCATATTCTGGAGTAGAGAGCCAGGGATGGCAGTCATGAGCACCGACATGATGGAAGGGGGAGGCGTTTTGATCGAGGGCATGTTGGTCGGCATGCCTTCAGGCATCTCTGTCTGGGTAGCACTATTGCGGGTCAGCAGTCATTCTAACTATCTGGTCGCCACCAGCACTTACAGGCTTTCAAGCTTGTCAATGTAGGACTGGGCGCTGTCCGTGTCCCCTGGCTGGGCTTCAGGGGCAGCCAGGGCTGTGGCAGCCAAAATAAGGAAGGGAAGTGTCTTGAACTGCATCGTTGTACGGTATAAAGAACGTTGGAAAACAAAGAGGGTACTATATATAAACTTTTTGCTTCAAGCAAAAGACAAAGTATCTATAGGTAAACTTAATGAGCGAAAGGAGTGAATGAGCGCTTGAAGATCCTGTTCTGAATAGCGACCTTGGTGGTTTATATATCCTTGAGGCAAGAAATGCGGAAGCACACAATTTTACAATCAAACTTCTCAACATTCAGGTAGCTTGTCCAGAAGTGGTATCACTCTCGCGCTATACGTCTCCCGTGGGCAGTGATCAACACGCTCCAAGAGACTACTGCTCGTGTTTAAACTCGAGATTGACATTTTAACACCTGTCTCAAGCCGAGCCCTAGAATAGTCTTTTCGAGGTTCAGGGACCAAACGTAATCCACTCTGGAGATGCTTTCCCACAGACTCTGCGCAGATCAGCGTAGATCCACAGCTAAAAGGGGCTGGTGCAGTGGGATGAGGCTCATCATCTCGTATTGCGGAAATGAAGGATCTTGGGTACCAACCAACTGCAGCTATACTACGAAGTAGCCGATGTATAAACTCTCGTCGAACTAACCTGTTAGGACAGGATCGAGGGAAGAGGATCTGCGTCAGGAACAGGAATAGCACAGCGTGGGTCACGAGGCGCACACCACCACAAAGATTGGCCACACGTTAACGGTCAAACAGCTCACGTCTTGGATCCCATTTTGATATAGATCTATAACTGCTCGTGTTAAAATTAGGGAGGCAAAGAGAAGGTTGCAGATGTATCCCCATTCGATACCCCTGATCTGTTAGTACGGAGTAGTTGTTCGAATAAGCCCTGAGCCAATAGTGCTGGCGCTTTCAAACGGAAATACGAGGGACCACTCGGACCACAGTTTAGATTTGCTGGTTCACTTCTCTTTGGAAATTCAACTGTGGGTTTGCTTTTTCGTTCATTTCTTTGTCTTCTTCCTCTCTGGTCCAATTTTGGACCTTGCAGGTCCCAACTAAATTTATTATATTCAGCTTTCTATTTTTGTTATTCCCTTTCTCTTTTAAAATGTGATTAACACTCCATTTGGACTATATATCTTGTTGCTAGGTTATGCATGACCTGTACAATTCAGCCACAAAGATGTGCAATTGATAGCCAAAACGCATACATGCCATAAAGTAAGGACTCCGTGCATTCCATCTTACTCTAGAATACTCCGAAGCTCCAAGCATTCTATGCAGAGACAAACAATACCAACCTCGTCGCCATCATGCAGGGAGCGGGGTTTTCGCATTCGGTTTTCTTCCCACTTATGTAAGCATACGCTTCCCGTCCGACTAAGCCCTCAGCCAATAAGATAGCTTAGATTTAAGTCTGGAGGGGTATATAATTCATTGTAAAGATAAACAAGTGCCTTCGGGCATTTGGTCAATTTGAAACGATACAGAGAAGATTAGCATGGCCCCTGCACTAAGGATGACACGCTCAATCAAAGAGAAGCTACCAGTTTTTTTTTGAACATTTATCGGCTTGATATAGAGGTAGGAGTGTATAAAGGTTCAGAATGGTGATTTTGGTACTGGAGCGGGTTCGAAACGGAGGGCAGGAGACTTTTTTCTGTTTGGTAGAGGAGCACTGTTTCAATCACGTGATATAATGAGGCTTCGTGAACTGAATCGCCAGCTAAACCTGATTAGGAAAGCCATACCCGTCTCACTGCCGACCCCCATTTCAGTAGGGGGTCTGCTACAGCTCAACGTCACTCCCAGCTCAACGTCACTTTTTCAATATAGCTCAATTAAAACACCCATAAAATCGTGATTTCTATATAAATGAATCCATAAAAGGATCCCCCTGCGTATCTACAGTATATAGGTTTTCAGATGCCCTATTTTCCTGGCTCGATGAGGCCGGCGTTGGAGTACTATCGAGTTTCTAAAATTACATCCGCGGCCTTCCTAATAGCGCTGGCACCCAAAGGAGCGCCTATATCATCAAATCAATCCATATGATCAATTAAGGTACTGTACTGAGTCGGGTCAAGGCGTTGATTACTAGATTTCCTGGTATTTTTACGGGCTCGGCCAGCTATTCGATGACGAAGGCGCGAATAGGAAACATCATGCTCACGCGCCAATTTGGTGATATTAACCTGTTTTTATACGCGTTTTTCTTTTTTTTTTTTTTTTTTCATTGTACGCGTGTAGAGCCTTTTGAATAAGCTCTTCCTCGGCTTTATATGTAGATTGCATTTTTTGTACAGTGGGAATAGCTTCAAAAATAATAGAAATATTGAAATCTTGAAAAAGTGACGTTGAGCTGTAGCAGACCCCCTACTGAAATGGGGGTCGGCGGTGAGACGGGTATGGTAAGCCCTCATAGCTACCCTATTGCATTGACAATGTTCTCAGCAATGTTGAACTCCTACTTTAAATAGATGATCTCCCAGCCCACCTGCCGGGAAGAAATGTTGGCCGACCGCAAAATAGCCCAGATAGTAATTATAACCCAGAATAATGTCTTACTCTTGTGCCTCTGTTAAGTAGGCCTGTTAGCTATTATCCATGCTTTTAATACTTAGCCACTTTCTGACTGCTATACGTCTAATCTGCATTAGATATTCCGAGAGATGTAGGCAGACAATAGTACATAAATTAACATTAGCTGGATGGGGTAGAGTCAGCACAGAAATTTTATTCTTTGTACAACTCCTTGCTCAAATAACGATATGTGGTGATTTCATATCATATGTACTATTTAATATCATGGCCACTCTGGCTAAGCTTTTGTATCCCAAAATCAGATAGTAGCGCCGCATTCAAATCAATCATAGGAACGTAACCAATAAAATCGCTGGCCAAACAGCCATACACGCTAACATGTGATTACCGCTTCACGCAAATGCCAGTCAGTCTACTTCGAAGTCTGCGGTGACGGTGAATTTCCTGAGATGAGGTATAGCGTGCCTATCTAGTTAGGCATGCACTGTTTCGCCGCTTGGCATCGACTAGAATAGTTATCATAAACAACACTTGCGGAATAAAAATTAAAAACGCCCGATATATAATACTGACTGTATACCTTGAGCTTATAATATGGAAAATCAGTAGGCTCAGCTTGTAATAGGAGCAGTTACAGCATGTTAAAACATGATCCGGACCCACCAATGATATTCAATTTACTCTATAAAAACCGGCTAGAACTAGGAGAAGTATTTTCTATTCAGAGAGGAACTAATAATACTGAACCCTAATACCGGATTAACTGGCCATTAAGAACACTTACTATAAAATACACCCCAATGATATCATGGAACAATGCTACTCTTCCAATAAATTAGGCTACAGTGACCCAATTGATACAGCCACTTGGCTAAAAGTACCAATGACAACAGTAGGGATATGTGCTATCTCTCAACTCCCAAAGATAGCCAAATGGGCGCCAAAAAGTACGAACAGGCCAATGTCAGTCAGGAACTTTGCGTTCTCTGCTTTCTCAAAGGTAAGACAATGACCACTAGGACATAGACAAGCCCAACAATTCCAGCCACCACGCTATATGCGATTATTGCCCCCACTGGGGCAGTTGCGGTGACATTTTGTGCCAAATGAAATCCCAGCCCACCATTGACAATACCAAGGACTATCATAGAACGGCCAAACCATCGGTGCAAGTATGCAAAGACACTCTTCTTTCCGGTTTTATGAAAGTATCTGTGTTGAAGAAAGCCCATAGCCGGCTGGAAGAGAATGAGGGCAGGAACAGCCACCATCCCGATGATTGGATGGTAGGTCCCTGTCAGATGGAGGGTTTTTGCCAACGAGATGCCGATACCAAACCCAGAGATAGCCAAGGCCAGGGTGAAAAGCTGGCAGAAAGCGTGGAAATCAACAATCCTGGAGTGTGCGCCGGTGTGAAGCATCAACGCAAACGAAGGGAAGAATATGACAAAGACAAGGATCATAAGAACAGCATGTGCTACCCTGCGACTTGCAATGGAACCGGTGTCAAATGTCGTGAGCGCTTGCCCAGGACTGTTTGAATTATTTGATGCTAAGAAAGGATTGTCGGATGCGCCGCCAGTCGCTTTTTGAAGGTCAAGAACTGCAACACCCGAAGCATCATGTATGATGATGGGTAAAGATAGACTGTCGGAGTTGAGTTGTCCCCCATATTTCAATGCCCAAACCCATGGACTAGCTGAACTACTCGGATCTTCACTTCCTCCTGGCCATGTGAGACAGCTGTCGCACCGAATGTTTGCGGTCATGATTCCATTGCTGATCCCGCTGCCAGTCAAGACCGAGATCTGAGCCTGGCCATTATACATCGGCTCGACGTGTTCTATGCCCAATCTTGGAGAGACAGTGACATTATTGCCGTCGCGGGATGCGTAAGCAACAAAGATATTCGCTCCTTGCATCCGGGAACCCTGACCCCATGCAAACCATTGAAGCTCTTGCGTTGATTTCAGCTGAATATAAATTGGTCCTGAACCGGAGTCGGCTGTCTTTTGGGGTATATTGACACTAAATTGGATAGAGCTCTGGCCAGGTGGCGAAAACATTTGCAGCTGGGCGAATGTGCCCGTCAACAGAGTCATCCAGGAACAAAGGTATGTTCTCGCCATTCTGGGTGAGGTAACAGGCTTCGTAACTCGTCGTTCATCTGTTCAAGAACTAGATATGTGAATGAGCAGTTGGTGAGAATGGATGGTAGTTGTAGTAGCTGCACGGCATATCCATGTCCTCTATTGGCTTGGTGAGCGGTCTATAATGCAATTTTTAGCAGAGTTCAAGCCTACCAAATAATATATATTATGACACATGAGCATTCTCTGAGAGGTATATCATGTGGCCCCTGGGGTACCAAGGTTTGCGGCCAACCATGGTTGCTTTTGCCTTAAGCTTCTGACAGTGTGGCTCATTCCACTGCCCTCGTCTGTCCAAGAGAATTGTTCTTACAGACGTTGTCCTCTGGACCTCGGTAGGGACTTGCAGCATTATATTCCGGCAGCATGAAACGGCTCTAGTTTATATAATATTGAGATGGTATTGATTTGAATGCCTGTAATGCGATGATAGTCGCATATGTTATGAGTAGAATTACAGATGGGATAGTTGAGGAAGCCCACGCGGGAGACCACCCACTCGACGACAATATGAGCTCCAATATAGGCTTTTTGGAAGTTCGATCGAAAGGCCGATCTAGACTATACCTGTGATGCTAAGGTGACGTGGCCTGAGGCTTAGACTGAACCCGACTCACAGTGTTGGGGTAGGACTGGCCACGCAACACATTGCTTTCATAGCTGTCTTAGGAGGCTGAGCATGAAGTATAAAATCCGGGATTTCGGATGTTACAAGTTGGACGCTTGAGGAAGACTAGCATGTGCGTTCCAACCCTCACATACAATCAAAAGCAGCTACAATGAAAGAGCTACAATATCTCTTCGTTTTTATCCTCATGCAGCTCCGGCTTGCTGGTGCCCAGGATAGTACAGCTACCAGCGATACTTCTGGGTCTACTACAAGTTCATCAATGGGCACCTCGAGCCCGTCAGCTGTACAAACAGTTGATGTTGGTGAACATGGCTTCCGTTTCGACCCTGATACTCTTAAAGTTGCTCCAGGCGGCAAAGTCGAGTTCCATTTCTATCCCGGTAACCATTCAGTGGCGCAGGCCTCTTTTAACCAGCCATGTCACCCTATGAATGATAGCAGCATTTTCTCTGGATTTATAGCACCAACTACTGGTGAATCGGTACGCCAAAAGCAATTGTAATCTGTGACAAGACGCTGATGGTATAGGACACTGTCTTTACGGTCACTGTGAATGACACGAATCCTATTTGGTACTACTGTGGTCAGATTGGCCATTGTCAGGCAGGTATGGTTGGGGTTATAAACCCACCGTCAGTATCTCCTGGGCAAAAGTGTATTGGATGGTACATTTAACTCTCCCACTAGGGCCTCCGGCTCAGACACTTTGGAAGCATTTAAATCGGCAGCTTCGAATGCAAATGGAGATAGCGTGCCATCCAGGGTCCAAGGTGGCACTCTCAGTACATCGAGCCCCAAATCGTCCTCGACCTCTACCAGCGAGACGAGCACAAGCACTCACAGCAACACAGCCACCACGAGCGCGTCACCCACTACCACTAATAGCCCAAGCCCTACCGCTACTAACATTGCAGGGAACCTACAAGCTTCGACCGATTCAAGCATTGTCTTCATTTTGACTTTAGTAGCCTTTGTTTTGTTTATGTAGATTCAGCGAAGCTTGAGGGGTATGTTGTTGAGAGCTTAGGTCTGCCTATTCACTATTAAGTGGCACTTTTGGTGTATCTACGCTGAGGTACGCTTCGTTTGATTGTCATCAGAGATCAAGGCCCTACAAGCCTGCGATATGTTGGCTACAGCCTCGTTTAAGCGATTCTTTTATGTCGGTCCATCCAGGTCCAAGCTCCACTTAGGGCAGCATTCAGGTACTGTGGAGATATGAACACTTCACCAGTTACAGTAATCTGTGGCGCTGTAACAGCAGAATCCTGAGCTCTGTTATGCTGTAAAGCCATCTATAGCTATTAAATTAGTATTCGGCTGTATCATACATACATCATACCCTCAGAGAATAACAGCGGACAGTCTTACCTCTAAATACTGAATATGTTAATTTCGGTGGTTGATATCTGGGCAGAGAGCTCTGTCTGGCTCAATAGTTCAGTAGTATTTTATTTAATAACATGAGCCTATGTGAAAATAGCAACAAATGTAAATTAATCCGTAACTGTAAAGAGGTGTTAGGGTAGTAATAAGAGGTAGAAGAGGGATTGAGCTTTGGGGGAAAATAGGTTGAAGGGAACTTTGAAGTTGAGAGGAAAAGGAATATATGTGAATAGAAAATATCGGAAAAAGAGCTACTATCTGACGGTGAAGGGGATCTATTCTTGGTAGAAATTCCCATATGGCTATGGATTTGGCCATGTTGAGTGTCACTGGTTCAAACCATACAAATTTCTTATATCTCTCTTGTCGAATCGTTTCAATTTGCTCAAAACTCCATATGACTCAATGGTCAATCTACCTATCTTATTCAATCACTTTTGTGACTTGGGATGTAGAGAATAGTGTTTATTACTGTATCTGTTACAAGCCGCTGATATAGCTCCAGGACCAGCAATCCACTAAACATAGCACTGAACTGCACGAAGATTCATATGTCGATAGTATCCCACAGTCATAATATCGTAGCATCATAGCCCTCCAATACGTCCACATAAACCCCGACAAATGATATCCCTGGGGCCAGATTTTGATTATGCACCTCCCTCTCTCTTCGCATACTCCTCCTCCATCCTTTCTTCATACAACCGATCCGCCTCCTCTTTGCTCAATGGTCTGTCCTCCGACGCAGAGGAGGACCCAGGTGCCGTGACTGTACCACCAGAACCAGTCCCGAGGGTACGACCGCCGGCGCTGTTCGTGGACGAAAGAGTTTCAAGCGACGCCTGGCCAGCGGTGCCAGGGGTGGCGGTGTCCGAAGTGTCTTGGTCACTGTACGTGGGAATAGGCATCTTTGGTAGTATTGTGATAGGCTGATAGAGTCGATGAATAACAAATGGTTGATTGAGAATAGGTAGAAGATTGCAGTTATTGATGGGACTTCGGGAATGTTTATGTGGGGTTTTTGCGGAAAGTGTGGCAATAGCGACTGACGTCATAAGAAATGAAATTTATGGTTAATTCTCACTTTGTGCAGAACTCGAAACTATCAAGCGGATAAAAGATCAACAGCAGTTTTTTTAAAGATCCACTTCAGATCTCTTTATAGAGGCACAGCTAGATTACTTTTCAGAACTGTTTTGCCCATGTAGAATCCTTGTTGCCGATGTCAATCTTCTGCCAAGATAAACCTGGGATAAATGGAGATTAGCCTTGTTCCTGAAGCTTTACTAGCATATCTCAATGTATGTATAGAACCATGAGGAATATTATAGTCATGTTATTTTATCTTTTGTTCCTCGCCCGTCGATATTCACAACTTAGCTCATGCTTCTTGATAGAGCCCTAACATTGATGTGGGACCCGCTCCATTATTGTATAGATCATAGATGCCATCACAGGTTCCGTCTCCGAGCCTATCTTGTAAGGCACGGTTTGTCTTTACGGATCAACCATGGAAGTCGGTTGATATTCACAATTCTTAATTGATCGCTCTGGCAAATTTCAATATAACCTTAATCAAACAGAACTTTAAACTATTCCATCAAATCACCGATTCCCTTACCCTGCGAAAAGTTATCCCTCAAGAGTGGAGGACCACTGGCCTTTCAACAACTCTACTGTTCCTTGTTGCGAAGTGGAGTAGCCTTATCATATAATACCTTGTTATTGAATGCGAAGACGTAAAGTTATTCTGTCCACTGCTCTCTGAGAAAAGCGGGAAAGAAGGGAAAACGAAATGTCTGACTTGTCAACGTGTGCGGTTGGTATCGTTTATTGTCTTCTTCCAATAATCATCCACAATGGACTGGCTTTCTTCGTATTGTGGCCTGTTCTAGGACCTGCAAAGTTTGTACTCTTAGGATAGTTCGACTGACCCGAAGATATTTGTCCCGAGTCAACCATTTCTTAACCGTTTCCGAGAACCTTGAGGCAATTAATGGTGGGTACTAACCACATTTTCTCTTTCGCAATACTTGCTCTTTTTGTATGCTTATTGTGCATTGCTCGCTAAATCCTATATCAGGATTTTATCAGTAGTACCTGAGAAGTACTCCGAAAATGTAGAAACTTAGGGGACAATGGCAAAATCAAGACTCAAAGATGATCCTTAATCATCCCTTCCTTTTATAAGAAGAAGAATACTGTTCTATTTACTACATGCAGTAAGGGAGCAGGTGATCAAAAGTGAAGAAGGCAAAAGTCATCTTTCGGTCATTACAAGCCTATGGCCATTGATCCACACGGAGAGGAGTCCTCCAGGTTTAGGCTTCCACTCTGGAGATCTTGAAGCCGCCTGGGAATCGGGTCTGGAATGCTCCCGCTGGATCATATTTAGCTGCGACCTTTCGCATGTGGTCCACATTCTCCTTGGGGTAGCTCCCGAGGGGATTCTGCGAAAAGTCGGCATAGTTTAGATAAATCAGCGGATTCTCCCCACCAACTGAGGCCGAAAAGCTTTTAAGCTCCGCAACCATTTTATTCATCTGGAATTGAGCGACAGCGAAGTCGGACTGATTGGTGTACACGAACACGCCGGCAGTCCAGAGAATGGCATCGTGGTCTTTCAAAGTGTCTGCAAACATGTTGCCTCCCTTTTCCTCACTGATTTCGGCAAAGAATGAAGGTAGCGGTTGGAAAAAGATGATGCTATAAAAGCTCGTTTCTCCTATGCCTCGAGACAGCTTTTGAGCGAACTGCTTATGTACTTTCGCAGCATGGTTCAAAATCCTTTTATCATTCTTAAACGTCAAAGTGGTTTGCAGAGTCCTAGATTCTCTTCAGCATTCACCGTGTATGGTATCGATCAGTTGTCTTACCAGGCATTTCCGGGGAGAGTTGAGTTCGCGGCCGCCACAGAGAGAGGCACAACGTCTTGAGTGAATGGCGATGCTTGTGGAATCTGCCTCAACTTGTTGAACGCAGGACTGTCCTTAATGCCGTCTGTGTTGACTTCAATTGTTGCCAGGATATCATCTCCTCCCTTGTGCACCAAGATCGCAACTAGGGCGTCCCTGTCGAATTTATTTTGGTTGTTAGTGAAGTCGACCACCGCATCCACTAGCTCCGTAGAGTAGTTTCCCAGCATTGCTCGTTGTCCATATGCAATGTACTTGTCCTCTAGGGCCTCCATGTCGTAGCGAGTGACAATACCAAAATTGCTACCGCCACCTTTCAAGGCTCGCCACAGATCGGAGTTCTCGTCCTTATTCGCATTAACCATAGTACCATTGGTAAGGACAACCTCATAGTTCTTGATAGAATCACAGCCAAAGCCCGTTTGCGCCATGTAGTAAGTGGAGCCGCCGCCTAGCAGAAAACCACCGACGCCGACGTCACCATCACGGCCACCAGTCACGACAACGCCGTGCTTGTGTAGTTCCGCATAAACATCTTCCCAGTGGCTGCCGGGGCTAACGCTGGCGATGTTGGTTTTGCGGTCATAGGTGGTTCTATTGAGGTATTTCAGGTCAATGGTCACTCCCGTATCGATGTTGTTTGAGTATCCAAGATTGTGGCCACCTGCACGGATTGCAATATACCAGGCACCGGCACCGGTCCCATCACCAGCCCCAGCCTCACTTCCTAGCAGCGCAGTCATTGCAGCAGATACTTCCTTCGCATTATGGGGCTGGACAATGCAATAAGGGTGTCGTCGTGTGTTCCAAGCCCAATAGCTCTCAATGCGGAGCTCATATTCCGGGTCCGTGGCGAAAAGAAGTCGATTGCTAAGGCCAGCTTCAATCAGAGCATCGCACTTTTATCAATTTAGCAACTTCCATAAAACACTCTAAGGGTGATGGGACGGGGTTTGGCATACAGGAGGAAATCCCGTAGAGTTTGTACTCGTGAACATTTGGCTAGCAGCTGCAGAGCTACTGAATGTCAGGAGTGTAGTGGCCATAAGGCCGACACAACTAAAACCAAGTAGCATATTGCACCGCACTGCAATTAGAGATAGATCGATTTGATGAACTTTCTCTGATTAGAGAAACAGGATAAAGATAACTTATCAATATCAAGCACCAGGGGCCAAAGAGCTGCATTTTATAAGTTTTCCGCGGGCCTGTCGAACCCATGTCATGATCGACCAGGAGAATAATCATGCCCACTAGCACTGGCGCCCCGTGGATCAAGACTCATAATCCGATGAATATAGATCAAATTCAGCCCCATTTCGCGGTTTGTACCCGGACAGGAAAATATAAATGCCAAGATACAAGGCCGAGAAGCACTCCGGGTCCACGTCAATTAAAAAGTATAGATTGTCTTGGCGTCTGTTTTATCCCGATTGGGTAAAGTGTTAAATCACTAACAGCGCTACCACGCTTATCATTGACAGAAACAGAATTGAATGAGCACCACGGCTCTGTGAGTCTATGGAAGTACAGTACATAAGTACATATCCCTTAGACAGACACTTAACCTAATTAGGAATGTAGGGCTGCCAAGACACTAAATTGTACGGCCCCATGAAGCTTCATACTTCTAGTGGATACCTTCTAGAGCCCAAATGCACCTCGCTTGTTGATCACTGCTCTAGCTTCCACATCGTTATGTGAGCTCAGATGATCGACGCTCAGGCTGGCTTGGAAGAACTCAGCCAACGGCACATGCGCCAGATAACTGTGTCTAGGGTGGGCCCATGAGCTAACATCTACAGATACCCTTTATAAAAATAAATCAACTATTGGTTACTACTCTTCAGGAGAGAGATGAGCGATGGGCTGCGTAAAGGAGAACTGGGCACTGCCACATGCAGACAGCATTTTCTGACAAGAGCCCAAGTTATCAACATGCCCCGGGTTCACTTGAATTCATCCAACTCATATTACGAATTCTTGAACTATATTCTCTCTTAGCACCACACTTTCTTCTCTCAGCCGTCCGTTTCTACCACTATCATGGGAATCCTCACTAAAGGCCTTGTAGTTGCTGGAGCCCATCATGCACTCAAGTGAGTTTCAATCCTGATCCATCTCCCCACATCTTGACCAAAGTATACTTGTAAATATAGAAAGTCAGAAATTGTTATATACTGAGGTCCTATTCTGCCAAAAAAAATCTATGTAGGCATATACCTTGTCAGAAAATGGAGCAGCGAGTTGCCTTGTCAAGTTAACACTTCCCATCAATTACTATACAAATTTCCTTATAAGGGAGTAGAGTGGGCCCTTTCAACCGATTAGATATATTTCTTGAAAAAATGTATGGTAGTCACATGCTTTATTATTCTTTAGTGTAAACCTTACCTGTACCGCACCTTAACCACGAAATTATACACACTAAACTATTAGAATACCCTTTACTACGGGTTAAGAACTCATGAAAGTTTAACAAAGTAGACCGTCATTCCTCTTTTTAATCCGCCAGCCGGAAGGAAGAGATAAGAAGGAAATTCCCCATCATGCAGAGGATTATTTAACGAAAAAAACTCCCATAGGATTTGTAGAGCTGGTAGACGACAGATTGTATAGTTAAGAATAGGAGACAAGCAATTCTGATGAAAGGCAAGCGCAAATGCGGTCAAATTACTAAAAATGTATTGGACCGACAAAGCATTGTTTAATAGCACATACAATAGCAACAATCGATTTCAAGAATGTCCTCTTAATTTCTCTAAATTTGCCGCTATCTAGTCGAGACTAATGAATGAAGTAATCGAAGAGTGGAAGAAAGAAAAGAGTACACACATCCGTATTTGCATTATGGAGGTCGTTGAAATCACCTCAAATAGTACTTTCCTAGATCGAAGTATATCATGACCATCCATCTTGAGTAGGGTTCTTATTCTGGTCTAGTTTGGAAATCATTCTAATTGCCAGGTAATGGGGTAGATCATACCATGCATCCATTCGTCCCTGCTGTACCCAGGACTATAAGCCGTAGTATAATGGGCCGACTGCGGCAGGTATCTTTTCGCGAGCAACGACTAGCTGAGCCCAGGACCCCTTGTGATGGACCAATGAAGTAATGCAGGGAGGATTTTTGAACCAGCTTGTTGACTGACTAATCCATCGATTTTGTAGATTGACTGCACCAATAGATGCGTAAGAAAGTGTCAATTGTCAACCCGAAGTACCTCCGACTGGCTGTTCCTTACGCTTTCTTGGAGCCAGCTTGGAAAACTTCTGAGCAGAGACACCACGGAATAAGTTGCTGGTAGGAAAAGCTGCCCACTTTCCCACCTTAGGATATGCGAGACAACTGCATCCGCAACGGAATCGGCTTCAATGGTCCGAGATTTCCATTGACCACTTTCGACCTGTTTGCCGATAAGTGGTGTGCGAACCCAAGTTGGATGAATTATCCTATAACAAAGTGAGTTTACTTTTCGTGATCCTAGCAAGAATTTGGTTGCTCACGATGTCCTGACTTTCTCCGCCATATATCTGTGCCGCAGCTCTTGCGTCAAACCCTCGTGAAGACTTAAAGCCGCAGCTTTCGTACAAGAATAGGAAATATTCGACGCAATAGTCAGAAAGCTCGCCATGCTCGCAACTGTAACAATATGGCCGTGATTCATCTGGATTATATGCGGAAGGTATTCACGTAAAATCCAAAAATGTGCAAGATTGTTGACATGAAAAGTGCGCTTAATTTCCTCATCTGTCTCATCAAGCATATCTTTGGCGGTGCCAACACCTGCATTGTTGATTAGAATGGTTGGATAACCAACATCCTCACGAATTAACTGTGCTGTGCGATGAATTTCCTCTGGGGAAGTTATATCGCATTTGTAGAAATGTATATAAGGCGACATGGCGGTTTTGGGGGGCATAATGTCAAGTACGACCACTTTGACGCGGCGTTCTTCAAATTTTCGGGCGATTCGTTCCCCAATCCCACTACAGCCGCCTGTGATTAGAACCACCTCATGGCTCCAGTTCCCTTTTTCCGAGTTGCAGTGGTTCGAAATCGCCTTCGAATATATCTTGCGGCAGATGTATAGGATTCCAGCCGTACAAAGTATTCGTAGTCCCCAGCGACTCCAGGAATTGGTTGATGAGACCGAGAGGAATGACTGTAAGGCAAGATTCTCGTGCGCTGTTGATTTAAGAAGGTCAATTAACTCGAATACACGGGCTTTAAGAGGGATTGCAAGCTCCATGAACGTGGCTGACAGAGGCACTGGCATGGTGCACGCCCTATATGTTGAAAATACAGATAATAGAAATGTTAGCCTCAAAAAGTCCAGCGAATATATATGTTGAAGTAGACCGATCATCTCTAGTCTGGCCAGCACATAAGACCAGTCCTATCCATTGATTTGTTCATAAATCGTTAAGAATGCTAATTATCTGACATTTTAATTCACTGTTACCGCCTCTCAAGACAGCTAAAAGGTGACGTTAAAAATTCAGCGACCCATCTTTCATCGTTGTCCTCCAGGTCCCTATGTAGACCATGTAAAAGTTTTCTTGTAGGCTCTCGAAAATGAATCCATAATTCATAAACTGGCCCCTCAGTAGCGATAGAAAAGACTATACTTAACTCAATGTCAGGCGCAACTTGGTCGGACCTTATTACTGGGTTTACCATTATCATAATTTTCTTTGTTCAGATCCTGGCCATCCCGAAGGTCTGAGAGACTTTGAAGGATCAGAATGGCTACTGAGCCATCGACTGCAGCTTGATTCTAGGCTTGGCAGAGGTTCCCTCCGGTTACACCGACCTTTGCCTCGACTATTAAAAACGGAAAACGAAGGCCCAACGGGGTAAATATACAGATTACTGATTAAGGTAGAGGCATCTTGTATATCAAGCAAGAGACTTTGTACGATATAGCGATCTTTCGTAGGCTTAAGGGCATCTGCTAAACTGTCGTCCGACAGGCCAGCATATATATCTGGCCGGGGACCCTTCAGTTTGAATACAGGGATAACTGGTTCAATTACACGTGAGGAATCTGTGCTAGCATTCTCCTGCAAAATCTGTTGTAATTGGCTTCATTTTCGCGGAACTGTAGGCCGAGGGTTCTGCACTGGAGGTTTAAATCTCCGTGCCAATCTAACTATGGGGTTAGGACCTAGGCCGTCTGATCTTAATATAAGATTGGGAAGAATGTAAGCTTGCCTCGATTACGAACAGCCTCAAACCCTGCAGGTTTTAGGTTGTTGATGGCTGTATATAAAGCTTTTGTCTATTCGGCTTTCTCTGAAGGTTTTCTCTCAAGTTCCTTGGACTTACTCCAGAGCCTTTCGGACACTTGGTGAAGGTCATAGCTGGTTAAATTATAGAAAATACTAGTATCGATATAGTGACTAATACTTGTAGGATATTTTATCACCCACGAAAGATTTTTGCGCGCCGCAGATGGCCGCCGTGATATTGTGTATCACTGGGTCTAGTCGGGCTGCTGGACCGCGACCTTTGTAAAGAACGTATAAAGGGAGGAGGTATAATTGGGATATCTAATAAACTACCTACCCTCTCCTGTAAAGCCATTGTCTAAAAGCGCACAAGGGGGGAGAGGGGGAGTATTCTCATTGTGCTTATCAAGAGCATCATACGTAAGGCAAGAGGGCTTATGCTGCTTTATGGCTAAAAACGTAGGGGAACAAGAGCGTGACCGTTTCACTTATGCCAACGCGATGATCTTTTGGGTTTGAAGGTAGGGCGAATGTGAAGCGCTTTGGAAAGACAAGAGTGACTTAGCAGATAAAGCTGAGACAAACGAACTCACAAAATAAGGCACCAATCTACTAGTCCGTTACAGTTAGAGTCGTTACTGGTGTCGTCTATACTCTTTGATTATTTTTCGAACCCTAATGCCAAGCACACTAGTCTATTATAGGAAAGAACCCGGATTAATGTGTTTTCATAACGCTGTACTGTATGGTATATCTGCAGTATATTACCAAAGCTTATACATCTTATATATATAGATTATATAGGCACAACCTTGGTTACCTTACTATAATATTTCCTGCAGATAATCTCCTGACGATCAATCTTACTACAGGAATACAATAGCACCCAACCTGACACCTTTACAACATCAAATTATTTATAATATAATCAAATATAATCTATTACTTACTAATACCCAGATAGCTGAAGCTGCTAACTGCAGCACACATACAATTCCTAAGGTTCGCTCAAATCTTCGGCTATTCGGCAGTCGCAAAGTACCTCCAAATAAAGGTAGACACCCACAAAGCATCTCGCCAATAATACTGGAGGCTCTTTGTGATTATCTTCTGAAAAAGCACTGATTTATATCTTGACAAAATAGCTATTTTTTTATTTAATAAGTTCCAAATATACACAACTACATCTAGTATCCTGTATACTCTGTCTTCTAAAAATTAGTCAAAGAAGGCAACTCGGCAGAAAGCAAAGAAACAAAACTCAGATCTGCGAGATATATATTTCTATTTAATTTCAGATTTTCATTCCTATCAACTTGTATACATAGACGAATCTGGATATGACAAACAAGTTCTTTTCCAACAGACAGGTTGGTCTCCCCTCGACACAGCTCCGATTCAAGTATCTAAATTTTAATGTAAACAGCGATATCAAATATTGCCTATATATTCTTAGAATAGTATTGTTTTTTTACATATTTTCCAAGACTCGACAGATATCTCTATTTTCGAGGACTTTATTAAGGAGCTCCTTCAGTACTGTAGAAAGTAGCTACAACCGAAATCTGTCCTAGTTATAGACAACGCTTCTTTTTATTACTCTAAGCGGATAGAGTATATATACTTGGAAGCAGGAGTTAAGTCAGTATATTTGCCATCATATTCACCGGACCTAAATCCCATCGAGGAGTTTTTTGCTGAGTTGAAAGCTTTTATTCGACGGCACTGGAGCTTGTATGAAGATAGCCCTGATCAAGGATTCAATATCTTCCTTGAATAGTATATCGATGTTGTAGGGGCAAGAAAGCAAAGTGCGAAAGGGCATTTCCGGAATGCAGGCCTGACAATAGAAGAGTTTTAACCGAGCTCAATACTATCAGCGTTGCCGTTGTTGAGCCGATTTCTTAAACTTTATACCAATTGTACTTTGGCTCCTTGCATAACAACATATTGAATACAGTATAATTTGCCGTACTAACTTAAGGCTACCGCGAAATGACTAACTAATCATGATAAACCTTAGCGTGTTAAGACGGATACATTTATCCCGATTCCGAAGAGGACATAGAAGATATGCCCTCTCAAACCCTCTTAAAATTATACAGCACCTTACACTTCTATTTTTTTGTGCTTTTCGCTTTAATTACTATGACTAGCAATATATCCGTCTCAGCCAGTTGTTGAGACCTTGGAAGGTCGGTCATCTTGAGAAACTGGGGATGTTGCTTGGGTGCTGTTGATACATTGCTTTTTAAATATGATTGGCTTTTGGACCGCGACAGCCTCACAGCAACACGTACCAGATGACCCCTCAACTCCCAACCTCGACTTTTAACATGCCTTTAAAATTTTTTATCCTGCATATCTAATATCTACTGTAGGAAATACTCTTTTTCTCTAGCAAAGACTACATGCTTTCCTTCTCGCTAAAATTCACTTCTTTATTGTAAAAGGCATATAAAATGGACTTCACACGCGATGACTATACGGTCGCATGGATCTGCGCCTTGCCACTGGAAATGGCGGCCGCGAAGGCCATGCTGGACGAGGTTCACCCTCCGCTCCCCCAGCCAGATACCGACCACAATGTCTACACACTTGGGAGGGTTAGCAGCCACAATGTAGTGGTGGCCTGCCTGCCTGGCGGTGTCTATGGGACGATATCCGCTACAGCTGTGGTGTCACATATGGTCTCTACCTTTCGGAGTATCCGGTTTGGATTGATGGTGGGTATTGGAGGTGGAGTCCCGAGCCAAAATGCTGATATTCGCCTTGGTGATATTGTAATCAGCAAGCCAACTGCGACTTCAAGTGGTGTTATCCAATATGACTACGGCAAGACACTTCGTGACGGACGATTTCAGCACATCGGATCGCTTAATAAACCGCCGTCGGTGTTACTGAAAGCTATATCTCAATTAGAGAGTGATTGTATGATAGGGAAAAGGCCGGTTAGTAAGATCTTGATTGATATACAGCACAAATATAAAGAGATGAGAGAAAAGTTTTCGCGACCGAAAGACGACTGGCTATTCCGACCAACATACAATCATAAGGATGGCGAACACAACTGTTCAACATGTGATCCGACCCAGTTAGTGAACCGTCCCGAGCGGATAACTGATGACCCTTATTTTCATTATGGCTTGATCGCTTCCGGTGATCAGGTTATAAAAGATGCCAAGACTCGAGATTCTATTGCTCAGAGTCTAGATATACTCTGTTTTGAAATGGAGGCTGCTGGACTCATGGACGAGCTCCCATCACTTGCTATTCGAGGTATCTGTGACTACTGTGATTCCCACAAAAATAAACAATGGCAAGGGTATGCGGCCCTTGCTGCTGCTGCCTACACGAAGGCTCTCCTGTCAGTGGTTCCCACTTACTGCTACAAGAAGGAATCATATAATTCAAGACAGCCAGTTTGGATGGTCCCCTTTAGAGAGAGCCCACGATTTGTAGGTCGGGAAGAAGAAATCACCAGAATTGAGGAAATGATTATGGAACAAAATGGACCTGGCAAAGTTGCTATCTGCGGACTAGGCGGAGTTGGGAAGACCCGGATTGCACTTGAACTGGCATACCGCATGCGAAAACAAGACTCCGACTGCTCGATTTTCTGGGTCACGTGTACCAGCTATGGGAGTGTAGAACAAGCCTACATGAGCATCGCCTCAAAGCTAGGAATGGCTGATATAAAGCCGGCAGAGGTAAAAGAGAAAATCAAGGCTTATCTCAGCCAGGAGAGTGCTGGGAAGTGGCTTCTTCTTTTTGATAACGCAGATGATATGGAGATATGGGACAAGGACAACACTAATTCTCCAGTATTGACAGACTTTCTTCCTCAAAGCGAGCAGGGCCATATTCTCTTTATCACACGCAGCCGGAAGGTAGCTATGAGACTAGTATCTTCTTATATAATAATGATCTCTGAGCCGAGCACAGAGACTGCTGTCAAAATATTTCAAAACTCACTGGTTGAAAAAACCTTACCTAATAATCGTGATACAACTGTTATGCTTCTTGAGCAGCTGACTTTTCTCCCGTTGGCAATTACCCAGGCGGCAGCGTATATCAATAAAAACAGCATTGGCCTCTCTGACTATATTATACTTTTACAGAACCAGGAGCCTGATGTGATTGAATTACTGAGTGAAGACTTTGGAGATGAAAGGCGATACAAAGACACCCAGAATCCTGTTGCGTTAACCTGGTTCATCTCCTTTCAGCAAATTCAGCGATCAAATAAACTCGCGGCAGACTATCTGTTATTTATGGCCTGTATCAACCCTCGCGATATTCCACAGTCCTTGCTTCCCCAGCCGAACTCGATAAAGAAGAGAATTGACGCTATCGGCCTTCTTAAGGCGTTCTCCTTTGTTAGCGAGGAGGGTAGGGACCGTTCTCTAAATCTACACCGATTAGTCCATCTTGCAACTCGGAACTGGATGAGAAGGAGCCAACAGTTTAGCCTGCAAATATTGAAGGCTGCAGACCGATTGAGCGAAGCTTTCCCGAACAATGACCATACCAATCGAATGGTGTGGCGAGAATATCTACCGCATGCGTCTTCGTTAATAGCAGAAGCTGACTTTCAGAGGGAGAAGGAGAAATACATTAATTTTATTGTCAATATTGGGATGTGTCTACATAGTGACGGACGATGGAAGGAAGCAGAAGAGCTGGAGGTGCAGGCGATAGAGCTCCGCAAGCATGTGCTGGGGCCAGAGCATCCATCCACTCTGACCAGCATGGCTAACCTGGCATCAACATACTGGAATCAGGGACGATGGAAGGAGGCAGAAGAGCTGGAGATGCAGGTGATAGAGCTCCGCACGCAAGTGCTGGGCCCAAAGCATCCGTCCACTCTAACCAGCATGAACAACCTAGCCTATACATGGAAACTACTAGGAAAGGTCCAAGATGCCTTAGCTCTGATGGATAAGTGTGTAGAGCTCCGCCGTAACTTGTTAGGTCCAGAGCACCCACATACTATATCCTCCTCCAACGCACTTAAAGGCTGGGAGAGAGCAGTGAATTCCCTATCAAAGAAGTCAACACAGCAGACTTCAGCCGCAACCCCTCCTGCCTTGCTTATTGACAATACTCGTCCCAAGCAGATAAAATCAGACTTCGAACCTGTCGCAGGCGGGAAAAGATGGGCATTAAAAAGATTTTTTGGAAGAAAATAATCTACGCTAAGCCTTTACTGCGGCTAGATTAAGTATATACTCAACCTGATTTATGTATTAACCAAACCTCCAAACAATTATAATCACGTGTATCTCTGATATTATAATATCGGGTGGTTATATAACATAAAAACTTCACTTTCGTTTTTAAATAACTTTCCAA